ACATACCATATATATCACTCGCATGCTTCCTAGCTCAACAAACTATCATACCACATAATACAACTATAGCTAGGATGCCAAATATCATAAAATGGGCCGACCTTGGTGCCTTAGACCCATTGGTATGGTGAGGAGACTCACATCTCACGAATGTTGTGCTGATAAGCTAGAATCAGATATGTCCAACGTGCTACTCCAACTCAACTGCCTATAATCATTAAATGATTAACTTGTCATGGTCCCATAATTACCCTCAAAGTCAACCCTGGTCAAAGTCAAGGTCAACAGTCCATGTTGACCTCAACTCGTCGAGTGCATCTAGCAACTCGTCGAGTGCATCTAGCAACTCGTCGAGTTCCTACAGAGTCCAGAACACCTGAACAAACCCTAGCCAACTCGCCGAGTTGGTTCGTCAACTCGACGAGTTCACTTGATATCCAATCGACGGAGAAACCCGATCCGACTCGTCGAGTCCCCCTCCCTGTTTGCTTATTATGATAATCCATCGAATGTAGGGACTCCAGGGCTTAGACCTGAAACCCTAAGGTGTCTAGAAGGATAAAGTTTCCAACTTTACCTTCCAGAACCACTCAAAATGCTCTAAGGCCTTTATCAAGGTTGGAAAGCTCTAAAGCTTAGCCATTTGGTCCAAGACTCTAGGGATCTGGAATCCCTCCTTTCCAGAATAGTTTCTAGTCCCCAAAACGTTCCAAAGATGGAGGCTTTATGGACATCCATGTCCAATGCATGTCCTTAAGTCAAAATGGCCAAAAGGGGGAAAAATACACTAAAAACCCTTGCATGGCATCCTTGCATGACCAAAAGCTAGATCTAGCCCACCTTGGGACTATTTTTGCCCTGAAGATCCATAAAGTTGCAACCTTTATGAATCCCATGCATGAAATCAACAAGAATAATGGGAAATGAAGGGTAAACTCAAGATCTAGCCATTTTCAAAGATAAAAATCAAGTCTTGAAGACTTACAACAGTCCACAAGATGATCAAGCTCAAGAGTGAGGGCTTGGTTTGCTGGCTCTCCTCCTTCTTCTCACTATCTCCTTCTTCATAAGCTCCGCAAGTCACTCTTAGCTCACAAAATGGAAGAGAATGGGGATTAGGGTTTAACACAGACGTTTTAGGGTTTGGAGGCTGATTAAAGGTCAGCCTCAAGGTCCTTAAGGAGATTATATAGGGTGCAAACCCTAAAAATTAGGGTTTCTATTTCCAGCTCCTACTCGTCGAGTCGGGCCTTCCGACTCGTCGAGTAGGACCGGACTTCCGCGTCCTCTTGATAGCATCCACTCGACGAGTAGGGGCTCCCAACTCGTCGAGTCCCAGTATCAAAACCCTAAAATTTTGAAAATTACATTAATACCTGGAACAGGTGTTACAACCACATGATGTTTTCATGTTTTTATCACTGTATTTGTATCGTTGAATCACAATATCATATTATCACTGTATTTGTATCTTCGTTGTTTGTATCACTTGTTCCAACGATACAAATACAGTGATAAAGAACTATGTATTTCAGCCTTTTATCACTGTATTTGTATCCCTCATCATTTGCGAGCATTTAGGGAGAGATTGTTGGAGCATGGAAATGCTCTATAAATTATGAGTGATAAGTTAGGTTATTTTATTCCTTTTTATTGTATTTTAATTATCTCTCTCCATAAATAGAGAGGAAGTGGTCATTAGTTAAGTGTGCACCTAAAATGTAGTCTTTTGTTTTAGTCAGAGAGAAACTCTCGGTTGGGATCTCTCCCACCGAAGTGTTCTTCATTTTCATATTATAACATCTTTTTCTATTAATATCATTGGATTACTCATCTTATCGTGTTCTTTATATTTTTGTTATCATTGAATCACAAGATCATATTATTCTGCACCTAGTCGATCGTGTCCAAATGGGTTCCTACAATATGATCTAAATGAGATGATTCAAAATATTTATGATTCTTAATTATATCTTTTATGATTCAAAATTAAATGATTGAAATATATAATGATCCAAGATTTGTTATTTGAACAAAAACTTTATTTAATTAAATATATTATTGATCCAAAATCATATATTTCAAAAATAATATGATCCAAAATAAATAATTTGATTCAAAATTTTATAATCCAAAAATAATATAATTCTAAAATAGTATGAACGAAAAATATTATGACACATATTATTTTTATTATTTAAAACTCTTATAATTGTTAAATATTAAAAGCTCAAACAATCTTTTGTTTAAAAACATAAAAACAGAGAAAAAAAACAAAAGTAAACAAAACATCATTAACTTCAAATATGTAGTAAATATATTAAAAAATAAAAAAAACATAAAAAAAAATAATTTTTTTTAAAAATAAAAAAATTGAAAAAAAAACAAAAAGTAAAATAAAAGAAAAGGAAAAATAAAATTAATAACGTTAAAACCAAGAATATAAATGTTTAACTTTTTTTTTAAATAAATAAATAATAAACGAAAATAAATAATAAAACCCTTTTAAATGACTTTCCATTGACATTTTCCGCACGTGATTAATATTTTCGAATCCGTATATATATATATATATATAGATATATATATAAATATATATAAATATATATATATATATATATATATATATATTATATATATATATATATATATATATATATATACTTTTCAATTCTAAAATGTTAGAATTTGTCGGCATCTACATGGAATTTTTATGACAATATTAGAAAGCTTTAATTAATTCATTTTAAGGAGAATTTCGTATTTATCATTGATAACTTTGGAAATTACTTTTATATCGGGGAAATTTTATACCACACACAAATATATATATATATATATATATATATATAATATATATATATATATATATATATATATATATATATATATATATAGCCGTTACCCGCGTCAAGCGACGAGTGCAAATAGATTTTTTCATAAATTAGTTTCTAGAGGCGATTAATTTTTTTTTGCAAAGCGGTGAGCGGCCAATAGTTTCTTAGTGGCTGCTGGGAAAACAGGTGGGGTGATATTATTAATTATAAAAATATACAGACTGGACTTGATATTCATGGAAATCTCCTGGGACCATTTTTGAAGATTTTTTCTTTTGTATCTTTATTTTGTCCATAAACCCTTTGTTGATATTAATTGTATATTTCTTCTTTAACACAACCTAAAAAAATAATTTGTTCAACAATTGCACATGTTTATCAGTAATGCAAGTAAAAAAAAATCATTATCATAAATTATGCATCTCAGTTTACTCAATTTAAGTTATTTTTTTTAGTCACTACCAGTACAGTCTATGCAATTATTAGTAACACGTCTATGCAATTATTATTCCTTACAGTTAACTCAAAATGGATAAATCCAAGAAATAGAAGCAACCATTTATAAGGCAAAAAATCCAACAAAAGAAAACACAAACATGGTCACAAAGATAGATTCACACACCTAAAATGACTATTTTACCCTTCTCTAAATTTTTTTTCATTATTTCATTAAACATACTAACATGGTTAGGCGCCCTAAGTAAATATACATGAAAGGATGAAGAAGAAGAGTAAAAATTACATAGATCGCCCCGTAGTAGTCCAAAAACTACAGATTTTGTCGTCATCCTTCAATTTTAACCTTTTGCGTATGTATGCTTGAATTGATCGGTGACTGAAATCAATCACAAATTGACGATAATACCCTTTACATGTATAAACATCAAATAAATTCAATATATGACGCAATTCAAAACCTTTGTTTCATAAAGCATTTCACAACCCACTCAAAAAAACCTTTGAATTTCTTGTAGTAAATGACTTATTTCAAAACATTTCATACTAAATCTCATATTTCTGTCAAGAAAAATGATAACAGTACAATCACAATCATGTAAAGAAAAATCTCATTTCTGTCCCATTTTATTAAAACAAACATGAAGATCTGTCAACTAATTTGTAAAAATTTACAAAACACACCTAATTTTTACCCCTGAATATATAACAAAAAAATAATAATAATATGAAATGCTAATTTGCCCCTAGAGTGAATAAAACTCCTAACCTGGTGTTAAACTAAGAAAATAACATGCAAACACACACACAAATTCCATTTTTAGCAAAGAAAAGTAGGTCATGAAGGCAAGTTTTTTGTCTTTTGAAAAAAAAGTAGGTCAATAAGACAATTTTTTTAAATGGCAAAAAAAAAATCATTTTTTCACTAAATCTGTAAAAATCAAAAACAAAAGTCAAAGTGCAATGATGTTAACATGCAAAAACAGAATTAACATAACCATTTCTCTTACAATATCCAACAGAAATAAGCATTTAGGCATGTACTTGTTTGTCAACCTGCTTCATGTTCGTGAATATATCCCAAATTGGACTTGACTATATTATCAATGAAGAAATATTACAATAATAATAAAAAATGGTAACAAATTTAATCAAAATAACATGTTGACAGTACAGATGCACACATCATGCAATTGAGATGAAAGTGAAGGTATTTCTATGATTTTGGGGTAAACGTTAGGTTGGAAAATCTGAAAAATTCAAAATCTTTCTTTAAGAGAACCAACATGTTCATCTTTCTCCAGGAAATTTGCTTCTCGATTTGATTCACTATTCCTAGATGACTCTATATATATTATTCGGATGGAATTCTTATTATTGCAATATTCAAGGGCCAAAAACAGGGGTTCACAACATGCAAATGGTAAAAGAAATATATCTCAAAAAGGTCACCAATGTTAACAAAAAGGACATCGGGGTTGGGTTTTACTGCCACCCATTTGGAATCTTTTATTAGTTGAAGCCCACTAACATGTTCATCTTGCATTGCACCAGCATATTCCTGCATCATTTCCCTGTGCATTACAAATTCATAAAACTAAAGATTTGAAAGCTGGCACATAAGAATGAAAAGGTTTACATGTTTACCTGTCCAGCTGGCACCTAAGCATCCCCTGTTAGCTTAACTGCTTCTACATATTCATAAAACTAAAGATTTGAAAGCTCTTTCATGCTGCCTTCTTCTTTCCACCGACCAAATTTACGCCTTAATTGAATCAGTTCTGAAGTGTAAAGCCCATGTGAACCAACGTACAATGCTAAAAAAGTATTTATAATTTAGTAAGATAAATTATAAAATAAGATAATGAATAAAATAAAATGGATACCATTTAATGGATCTTTGTTTGTTGGAAGCTCAATTCGGTTAAATGTTGTGGATCCGGATAAAGGTTGACGATTTTTAGCATGGGTAAGTGTAAGATTAATCAACTGGCCAACATCTTTAAGCACCTGTAAAATGTTTTATAAAAACTATATATTTTGACAAAAAGTCAAAAATACCGCTCTTGTTTTACCCTATTTTAGAATTTTAGTAATCTGACCTACATGGGTATCTTTCCTTTTCCAATTGACTTGGCAAGATCAAGCATAATGCTGTCAAGCATAATGTTGTCTGTGCTACGATTACCACGAACGTGTCCTTTTCTCAAGCTTAGCTGGCACACAGATCAAATCTTTAGGAGGGTATTACTGGAAATCTTTTGTACTAAGCCACCAACTACAATCTTGACTGCAAAATGAAAATCTAACATGAATCCAATCGAGAGAATGATAATATTCCTAATAAGAAAACATAATGTTGATGGATTAGCAGTTGAAGAGTGACAATAGAATATAAACTTGCTCACAAATGTGACAAAAGGTACACAAGATATAAGGTTTACTTCGAGTTCTGAAGTTTAATGGAGGCTTTTCTTTTCTTAGAAACTGGTTCTTCATCTTGCGACTGTTCTTCATCAGCTTCCACTTCATCAACCAAATTTTCTGCATCAGGTATTGCCCCATCTTTCTTTTTTATACTAAAATAACAAAAAGTAATGCATAGTTGTTAAACATATGATTACATATTTACTGGAGGATGGTTAATATAAAACTAATAATTTTAACTACCAGAAAAGTTCATTATCTTTCAAGATTTCAGTTGACTCGGTAGGTGGCAACACAAAGCCATCCATCTGCAAGGAAATAAACAACCAAGTATGATGAAAATAAGATAGCAAACACTAAACTTTACTTACTTTACGCATCAACTCAGCACTTAACAGATTGAGTATTGATAGCAACCGGTGATTAAAAAGTACCAACCTGCAAAACTTAGCAATAAACTTAAGCAACAACTCATCAACACCCAAAAGGGCGATTTACACAAAATTTACATTTGGAAGAAGAATAACCCTTGTCTGACTAACGATTTAGAAAAAACTTAGGGTTTTAGGACATAAATTACGGCATAAGAATAGAGAATAGAAAGATACAGATTGGAGAGGAGATTGTTTGATGTTGTAATTTGAGGAGAAGCCAACTTTTGTTGATCCCATCCGATCGTTGTGGTTTGCTAAGAATCGAACGAAATGGTGGACGGTGACCCGCTAATAGGTTGTAGCGACGACCAATGGCGGTGTATCCGGTGGCGTGGTGGTAGATGTTCCAGTAAAATCTGTATTTGTTCTCTGGTTTTGGCCTCAAAAGCAGAGCAAACGCCTGAAAAATTGTTAACACCAGTTTCAATTCTACACAAGATTGACAAGAAATTATGAAAAATGTGATCGATTTTTGCATACCTAAATGGTTCCTAGGGAAAAAAGTGCGATTCCGATGTTGCGGTGAGTGTTGTATTCGATTCCGACGGAGTCGCTGCCGAGTTTCAGTCCGGTGACCCATCCGGCTACTCCGACGACATAGGCGGAAGCCTGGCAGGTGACGTGGATGTAGAACCAGGCTGGGTTAGCCGACTTGAAGACTTTCAGATATCTCGCAGCCATGGCTCCCATTGGCATCATTACTCCCCAACTTACAGCGTTCAACACTCCGTGAGTCTGTCAAATTGTTAAATGTCAAAACCAAATCCATAATTTAGATCTCGATCATCAACAAAAAAAAAGAAGGAAAAAGTTTAATCGACTAAATATAAAAAACTTACGTTTCTCCTTCCTAATAGATTCTGAAGCGATTAGGAAGGAGAGGCAAAGAAGAGGGTTCGATTTCTTTCTGATGGCGGCTGTTGTGTCTAGTGTTGTGTGTAGAGAAGATTAGGGTAACATAGAAGGTAATACCGTGTATACGTATATCCGATGTGATTATGAGCTTATTATTATTGTACATCAGGTAATAGGTATTGTACCTCTTAATTTTCAAGAAACATGCAATATGTTTAATAATATAGTAAAGATATATATATATATATATATATATATATATATATATATATATATATATCATATATAGGAAAGATCATTTGAGATCTCATCTATTCCCGAGAACTTGAGAACTACAAGTGAACCACTAGATCAAAAATTTTAAGGGCTCTGATTTTTACGGCAATCTCGTAATTAACAGAAGCTTGAAAGGTGTATACGGGCTTTTAACAAAAATCGTGAGGGTAAACTGGGAATGAGATTTTCACATCCCTAAAACTCATTCTCTCTCTCTCTCTCTCTCTCTCTCTCTCTCTCTCTCTCTCTCTCTCTCTCTCTCTCTCTCTCATCTCACGTACGTCCAATCATCCTCACCGTCTCCCTCCACTCTCCGGCCACGATGATTGCTCCATCTTTGCCTCTGTTAGTGGTGATAGTATCCCCGCCGAATCCAGAGGATTGTACATCAACCAGCGACCACCACCTGCATCGACATATCACTTTCTTCATCGTCTCCTTCTCGGCTTTAGACAACGATCCACAGTCGATCCATATTTCATAGTCATTATAAGCGATTGATGTTGAATATGAAATCCTCTAATGATTTAGGCTTCATTCTCGTCGATCATGAACAATTTTGTAAGTATTTATTTTATTTGCATTTTGAATCTGAAATCCTTCGTAAATCTCTCTCTCAAGTACGTCCTCCTCACTTCCTCACCTCTCCAATGAAGTTAGGGTTTCTTCATCTGTGATTTTCTGGTGATTGAAATTGGACTTATGAATCTGTTTTACCATGTCGTTCCCTAAAATCCTACAGAAATAGGCGTGAGTTTGACCATGTCGTTCAGTTAGGGTTTAGAAACCAACAAAAATAATATCAAATTAGAGTTTCAAATCCTTCAGCGGCTTGCCAATAAACGGTAACATAAAAAAGAGATTGATTTTATTCGTTCTGTTGATGTGGACATGTAATTGATTTTAGTTATATCTCTCACAAATCACAATTCCACACTAAAATATACCATCAGTATGCATTTGGTAATCAAAAAATGTTGTATATGAAACAATATTTTATGTATCAGACAATATTTGACTCATAGATCTTTTATCAATTAGCATGATCTCTGTTTCATTAATGCTTTTACAACTATTTTGCTGCTGAATTTTGCTCTGATTTGAGGTTGTTTGGCATCTTGTTTCTATTATCTTTGGTGCTATCTACTATTCATTTTGTATCAAACACAACATGTAGCTAACGATTATTAATAAATGTGATTGTAATATTCCTAGATCCTTTTTTCAGTGTGCTACATTTGTGGGAACTGTGACCTACATGTCACGTGAAAGAATCAGAAATGAAAGTTATTCATATCCAGCTGATATCTGGAGCCTTGGTCTTGCTCTTTTTGAGTATGGCACTGGTGAATTTCCTTATACAACAAATGAAGGACATGTTAATCTTATGTTACAGGTAATTTTATCAACTGCAGTATATTGGTTTTTTCTTTTATTCTTGCTGATATATAAATTTTTATTTCTCACATCTTAATAGATCCTGGAAGATCCATCTCCATCACCACCAAAAGACATTTTTTCTCTAGAGTTTTCTAATATTATGCATATTTATAGATACACACATGTTTTTTGATTTCATTCATATCCATAGACACTGGATTACTGCAGAACATACAATCCTATAACAGTTGCATTGTTTATTGGATTTAGTTATTTGGGGCAATGGAGGATATCAATGGTCAAAGAAAATGGAGAAAAGTTGCTTATGGAGGTATGCAGACTGGTTTTGATGAGAATCACACATACAACATTTTCCTTCAAAAAATGGTGATGAATGCTAATGTTGTCAAAAGATACATGCTTAAGGTGATGCTAGACTCCGTTTCAAATTTTCAGTATCTTTACATCTTTAACTATTAGCTTGTAAAAGATCATAGTATTTTGTTATGTTTGTTTGATTTAAAGTTACAATGAGGATAACAAAAGAAGAACTTAAGGTAACAAACGACTTACATTTATTATTGATGCAATTACTTGTTGTGTTTGTTTGATTTAAATTTAATTAGAAGCTATGTATGTATTTTGTTGAAGGATGTGGCTTTTATGATTGATGGATAGGCTCTTGAAATTGCACTCAATTATTACCGGAAAGCATTCACATAGTTGGAAATATTATCATGGACAACTATATGATGTTGGATTACACCATCCTAGAAGGTACAGATACAACTATCTACACTTTATTTATTCTGTGATTGCAATTTATAGACCAAATATGTATGTCTAAAGTATCTTTACATCTTTAACTATTAGTTATTTATGATTCAAAGCCAAAATGCAGGTACTTTTCAAGTTGACTAAAAAGTTTCATTTCTTCAAAAATAATTAAAAAAAAGTTACTAAAAATTGTTCCTTTTTTATTGATTAATTGTTGTTCTTGAATCACATGTAATTCCTTTACAGTAACCTAGACAGTTAGTTAAATTACATGTCCGATCGATAAAAATCATATGTAATTCACATATGAATCATATGTAATTCACATATGAATTACATGTGATTCACATATGAATCACATGTGATTCACATATAAATCACATGTGATTCACAAGTGAATCACATATAAATCACATGTGATTCATATATAAATCACATGTAATTCACATATGAATAACATGTAATTCACAAGCGAATCACATATGAATTACATGTGATTCACATATAAATCACATGTGATTCACATATAAATCACACGTAATTTGCATATGAATCACACGTAATTCACAAGTGACACATATGAATTACATGTGATTCACATACAAATCACATGTGATTCACATATAAATCAAATGTAACTCACATATGAATCACATGTAATTCACAAGTGAATCACATATGAATGACATGTGATTAACATATAAATCACATGTGATTCACATATAAATCACATGTAATTCACATATGAATCACATGTGATTCACATATAAATCACATGTGATTCACATATGAATCACATGTGATTCACATATAAATCACATGTGATTCACATATAAATCACATGTGATTCACATATAAATCACATGTGATTCACATATAAATCACATGTGATTCACATATAAATCACATGTGATTCACATATAAATCACATGTGATTCACATATAAATCACATGTAATTCACATATGAATCACATGTAATTCATATGTAAGTCACGAGTGAATCACATATAAATTACGTCTATATGCACACATGCATTTTGTGTGAGTGTTATTCGTTTTTATTTTCTTGTGAATTTCACATTTAAATAAAGGTACAATCACATATGAATATCACAATATATATAATCGCATGTAAATCTTAAATGATATATACATATGCATTTTTGTGAGTGTTCTTGCATTAATCATTTTTTTCTTGTATATTTGAAAGAATTTGTGGAAAATTTTGAAGATGTAAAAAGTGATAAATTGAAGATAATATGCAAATTTTGATATGAAGAAATGATAACACTGTGAATCTTTGAAACATTTTTTATTTTTTATATTTTATTTTGTATCAAATGAAATACTTGTACTATTATGTTTATAGATTGATTAATAAAATAAGATTTTTTATGATTTACTTACAAATATTATAGTATAAGAAATATGCATATATGCATTTGAAAAAATAAGCATATATGCACCTAAAACGATTATATTTTTTTTGTTAAAAAAATTAGAGTTTTTTTTTTAAATTTTCTATTTTTTTTTAAAAATTTAATGATTTTTCAAAATTTACTTTTAAGAAAAATGTAGGTTTTTTTTTAAAAAAAATGGAGTTTTTTTTTTTGTAAAAACATTGCAGTTTTTTTTAAAATATTTCAGTTATAAAAAAATTCAGTTTTTTTTTTAAATTGCAGTTTTTCAATATTTTTTTAAAAAATTAATGTTTTTTGAAAAAAAATTAAAAAATCTCCATTTATTTAAAAAAACGAAAATTATATAAAAAAAAATCTGAAATTTGATTTATTATGTTAATTTTTATAACTTTTTATTAATATTTCCAATAACACAAAAAATTAAATATTAAATGAGATCGGTAAGATTACGATCATGTACTTAATGCGTTAATTTTGATCTAACGCTCCACCTTTAGTTCTCGGGTTTTCGGGAACTATGAGTTCTCAACCGATTTCATCCCTATATATATATATATATATATATATATATATATATATATATATATATATATATATATATATATATATATATATATATAATGTGGATCCGGTGAAGACTTAAAAAATGGTGCGGACTACAAGGATAATTCTCCACCATCCACTTTGTCAATGACACAAACAACAAACTCACTACTTGGACGTGACACGTTCTCATGCGACACACGTCTATATAGGGGAGCGTTCAATCAAGAACATTTTTTATTGCGAGAACATGTGAGAACAAACTTGGAGTACATAATTTTTTTAATTAAAATTATAAAATAACATTTATATAAATAAAAAAATAGTTAAAAGAATTAAAATACTTATTAACCAACACCACCCACCACTGTAACAACCGGTTATTTCGGGTCAATAAAAGTTAAAGCAGTCAATAAAAGTCAAACCAATCAATAAAAGTCAAACACGTCAAATTATAAATCAAATAATTAAATAGTTAAAGATTTAATTTCAATAATTACTGATTTATACCCCACTTAAAGTGTTTTCGGTATTTTGAATCAAATTCCATACCAAAACCGAAAACACCAATTGAGAAACAATTGGAATCGAAATCAAGGGCTAGACCGAAATCGTGCGAGGTCCCCACCTTCGGACCGCAAACCCCTAGACTGCGAACCCTTGCGAGACTGAGAACATAGACCGAAATCAGGGGATTTCGGTGGGGTTTAGACCGAAAAGACTCCCTTTTTTGGTTGGACATTTAGACCGAAATCAAGGACTTCGGTTGAAAGGATAGGCCGAAATCTCATTTTTAGACGGTGGCACACAATTCCAGAGGATAAATTACATCTTGCAATGCACATGTCACATCAATTTATCCCCATATTTATATGCCCAAGCCGAAAACTCACTTCGTAAATCACATTTACATCCAAAAGCCTTCATGTTTTGCTCTCAAAACTTATACAAAAATCATCAAATCTTCATATCCTTGCCCAGATTATCTTCATATCTCCATAATTTCCTCAAGAACATCATCCAAAATCCCAAGAACATTCATATCACCTTCAAATCTTCAAACATTTCTAAGGATTTATTGTAAGTATTTCTTAAATAATGTAGTGTTGTCTAACGCTTTAAAACGTTAGTTACCTAATTTACACATATATTACGTGTTTGAATAATATTAGGATACGAATATTTACACGAGATCTAAACTGAGGATCATCGTTATCACTTCACTATCCAACCAAGAGCACACATTCGAGGTGAGTTCATACCCCTACGTTTTCATGAATTTTCTATGTTTTAGGGGGGGGGGGGGGGGTGGAATACAAGTAAAACACAAGGAATCTTGTGTTAATATCTAAACTATTTCAACTGTTGTTTTTTGCCTATATATATATATATATATATATATATATATATATATATATATATATATATATAGAGAGAGAGAGGAAGGATCTTTTTGGTAAATGCAAAATACATGCATATACATTGATATCAAGTAATTTAAATGGTAGACTTTGGTTGTTATTATTTCTTTAAGTATTTGTTTTTTTAACATCTTATTAGATTTGATTAAATTGTTAAACGAATACTTGATATCTCAAATATTATTGAGTAAAAAATCACAATGTTCAAAGTTTAGCACGACATACTTATTTCATTACATTTATTTTTAGGTGTCATTAAAAAATTTAAAAAAATCGGGTAATACCCGAATTACCCTTACCCGACCCATTACCCGAATTACCCAAACCCGAATTACCCGAATTTAATTTGGGTAGGGTAACGGGTAATTTTTTTTATATGAACGACCCGAATTACCCGAAACCCGAAAATTTTACCTGATCAACACCCCTAGTTAGATCAAAATAATAAAAGGCTAGGATGCTCGGTGGCGTTTTTGTAAATAGTTTGAAAAAAATAGACGGGGGCATCTTAATTATTATGAATCAGGGGCATTTTAGTAAATAAATAATTCAGACCCCTCTCTCTCTCTTCTCTCTCTCTCTCTCTCTCTCTCATCTCTACTGCTGTCGTCTAATCACCTCGTAGTCGTCGGAGATGACGTCTTCATCGGTGAGGTGGTCGAAGACGGAGACCAGTCGTTTGAACACGGAGGAGCATGACTTCAAAACTAACTTCCGCCGGTCAAAGAATCACCAAAAGTTTGATCTGTCAGCTTGTACACGACATCATTCGATTTTCCGACATGAATGCATCTGAATTACGAAAGCATATCGGATTGAGATCTGGATCTAATCTCAGGTTCCATGCCGACGTTAGCGAGGCTCCGATCCTTCCGAAGAACGTTTCCCCGTATGATTTCAATTGGAGAGGATATAGTGCAGTCACCAATGATGTTAAGAATCAGGTACTCGGATTTAAAACAATCAGTATCCTTCATATGGAAATCTAGTAATATTTATTATTGTTAATGTTATCAATTGCCATGATTACCCAATTTTATGGATTTTTGTTCTACAGTAGTACAGGGAATGTTGTCTTGAACTGAAAGAGGCGATTTGAAGTCTCTGTATCTTGGAGATTTTATTTAGCTCATCCAACTGCAGATGACTTTTTTTTGGTAAGTATGTTTGATCTTTTTGTTTTTTTTTCCCTTTATTTAAGCCTTATATTGATAATGTTTTGATGAATTACAAGAAATCTTAGTAATATATTTGTTAATTTGATTATTACCAGATGATTATTACACTTTTTTTATCGACAGATTCATCGGCTATTAGTGTAATAATTTAATTGATTGTTGGCATGTCTGAAAATATGATAACAGAAGAATAAGTAACAATAATAGTCTTAAAAAGGGATGAAGTGTAGTTGATTTGGTTTTTTTGAATGATAGGATCCTGGAAATTCAGTGATGATTGTGTGTGATGAAAAGCTGAAGGAAGTATTTGGATGTGAGAGCATTTCAGCAATGGGAATACCAGAGTTGTTGGTTAAACACCATTTACTCGAGCAATAGTCTTGTCTTCTCAACTTACATGGATATTATGCAAACAGGAATTGAGGAATTGAGCGTCTGACATATGATGTGAAGAAAGAAAGTAGTAGTAGTAGTAAAAGTTTTTTAAGTTTGTTTTTACGGTTGTGTGAGTGCTGCTGACATTGTAATGGTAGTGTGTATAATGATGTTGGAAATTGTTTTTATGTAAAACTAAACCCAACAAATGTTTTTCTTGTTGATGTTATTGTGATGTTTAGCTGTTGTTTACCTTTATCCTTTTGTAAATGCATAACCATTGTATGCTAATGATCTATTTACTAATGTTTTCACTATGATTAAAGGCAATCTTCAGGTTTCATTTCAGCTGTTAGCAATTGCAATTGATTATGTTCTTTTTATCGTTTATGTTTTCATTAATCATATGGATTAAAGGAGATGTTCAGATTCATTGGCAATGATCTTTACTAAAATTGCTATGATCTTCAGGTTTGTTAATATGTATTTTGATTATTGAAATCATTATATTAGAAATTTGATTCAGGTTTCATAAACATTAGGACAAAAGCTTGTGAGGTGTTTCAGAGAGAAGATTGTCTAAATGAGATTATATAGGTATGTTGATGGTTTTATTATATTGTATATGTTTTATTAGATGATAATTATATATGTATATGAACATTTGATGGTGGTAGTTTGGTGGTTAAATAAGATGTAATTCACATATGAATTACATGTGATTTACATGTAAATTCACAAGTAATTCACTTGTAATTTACATGTGAATCACATGTAATTCATATGTGATTCACTTGTGATTTACATATGAATTACATGTGATTCACATGTAAGTAAGATGCAATTCACATGTAAATCACAAGTGAATCACATATGAATCACATGTAAATAAGATGTAATTCACATGTAATAAGATGTGATTCACATGTAAATCACAAGTGAATCACAAGTGAATCACATATGAATTACGTGTGATTCACATATAAATTACAAGTGAATTACTTGTGAATTTACATGTAAATCACATGTAATTCACATGTAAATCACATGTAATTCACATATGAATTACATATAATTCACATATATTTCACTTTGTAATTCACATGTAAATCACAAATGTATTTACATATGAAAAAATGTATTCACGTGTAAATCATTAGTAAATCACATGTAATTCAGATATGAATCACATGTAATTCATATGTAAATCACATGAATTTTTGTGAGTGTTTTTGAATTAATCAATTGTTTTTTTTAATTTTCTTTTACATTTGGAAGGAAGTTGTGGTTAATATTTGAAGAGTTGAAAAATGATAAATTGAAAAAAATATGGAAATATTGATGTGAAGATATGAGAATTATATTATTATTTCAATACATCTTAGAATCCCTTATACTCAATACCTAACACACATTAAAAGAAATCATATGAATTACAAAGTTTTTCTAATATATATTGTGTTATCATCATCTTGAAAATTGCTAATACATTTGTGATTTACATGTGAATTACAAAGTGAAATATATGTGAATTACATGTAACTCATATGTGAATTACATATACAAAAAAACATCCAGACTTCCATCTAAAATGAGGACGATAATGATCTAAGTTTCTTCAAAGGTGTATTGGCTGTAGTGTGAGATAGAAGATGACAATTGTAGATTGTTATACAACCAAATGTTGATAATCACAATCATGTTTAGCCTAAAACTAGTATATAATTAAAAGTCCAACAAAAACACACAAACATTGATGGCAGAGACCTGTAATGCAATTTAAATCAATTTTGTACATTGAACCATGAACCGAATCCAACTTACTTGTATTTATATTGTGTTATCATCATCTTGAAAATTGCTAATACATTTGTGATTTACATGTGAATTACAAAAGTGAAATATATGTGAATTACATGTAATTCATATGAATTACATATACAAATGGCGAGGGGGACATATGAATTACATGTGAATACATTTTTTCGTATGTAAATACATTTGTGATTTACGTGTGAATTACAAAGTGAAATATATGTGAATTGAAAGCATATCAATTCACCACTACCGAACGGGGTATAAGGGATTCTAATATGTATTGAAATAATAGTATGATTTCTTTTAATGTGTGTTAGGTATTGGGGAGGTTACTAAGGAAATATTGATGTGGTTAAATAAGATGTAATTCACATATGAATTACATGTGATTCATATGTAAATGACAAGTGAATCACATGTAAATCACAAGTGAATCATATGTGATTCACATGTAAATCACAAGTGAATTACTTGTGAATTTACATGTAAATCACATGTAATTCACATGTAAATCACATGTAATTCACATATGAATTAGATGTAATTCACATATATTTCACTTTTGTAATCCACATGTAAATCACAAATGTATTAGCAATTTTCAAGATGATGATAACACAATATATATTAGCAAACTTGCATAATTTCCAAAAGTTGTTAAACTTAGTCATTATAGTGTTTTACAAAATAAAGTGCATACTAAAATTTTTGCCAAAATAGCCCATATAATTAATTAAATCCTAACATTCTACTGGATAACAAGAGCTTTGTTTTTAGACATTCCTATTCCTTTTTTTTCTTTTACAATTTTTTTAACTTGTTCTCAGTGATCCTTTCAGAAGTTTTTCTAGTTCTGATCATTTTAGAAGTTTTTCTAGATCTTCCATCCTTTGTCTTATGGACCTCATCTGTGTAATCCACATGCTCTTTGTTATCGACCTCATTATCTTCCTTCTTTTCTTCTTCACCAATTCCTTTTTCTGACATAGTCTAGTATAGAAAAAAATAGATGTTAGTTATGTTATTAGAATTTAAAATTTACTCTGAACTTTAAAAATATACCTTTGGGATTTCTTTTGATTTATGAAAGAAGTCATCAAATTCCTTAAGTTGTTCTTTGGTGATATTAAGAATCGAAATGATATCTTGCTCACTGTAATTTGATTGTCTCAAGTCATTCAGAAGTTTACGAAGTCTTTCTCCTTCAATGCTATGCTCGACCTGAACACATGCTTTTGGAAGATGTTGATTTTCCAAAGTTGTTTGAACTTTTTGAGTAATTTCCAAATTGTCAGGTTCTCCATCTAATTGTGATTTACATATAATTCATGAGTAAATAACATGTAATTCACATATGATTTACATGTGATTCACATGTAAATCACAAGTGCATTACATGTGAACTCATATGTGAATTAGATGTGATTTACATGTGAATTACATGTAATTCACAAATGAATTATATGTGATTTACATGTGAATCACATGTAATTCACATGTGATTCACATGTAAATCACAAGTGTATTACATGTGAATTCATATGTTAATTACATGTGATTTACATGTGAATTACATGTGATACACATGTAAATCACAAGTGTATTACATGTGAATTCATATGTGAATTACATGTGATTTACATGTAATTCACAAATGAATTATATGTGATTTACATGTGAATCACATGTAATTAAGATATGAATCAAATGTGATTCACATGTAAATCACAAGTGTACTACATGTAAATTCATATGTGAATTACATGTGATTTATATGTTAATTACATGTGAATATGTGATACACATGTAAATCACAAGTGTATTACATGTGAATTCATATGTGAATTACATGTGATTTACATGTAATTCACAAATGAATTATATGTGATTTACATGTGAATCACATGTAATTCACATATAAATCACATGTGATTCACATGTAAATCACAAGTGTATTACATGTGAATTCATATGTGATTTACATGTGAATTACATGTGATTTACATGTAAAGCACATACAATTCACATATGAATTACATAATTCACATGTAAATAACATGTAAATCACATATGTATTACATGTGATTTATATGTAATTCACATGTAAATCAAATGTAATTCACATGTAAATCATGAGTAAATCACATGTACTACATCTTTGTCAAGAACAGGTTCCTAGAAATTGAAAGTGTAGCTTGGCCTGAACTGGAGACAACTGATATATCTTCTAATTCATGTATAAATCACATGAATTTTTAATGAATCAACTATGAATAACATATGATTTATATATGATTTATATATGAATATGTGATTCATATATTATTCATATGTGATTTTAATATGAATATCAATACCATACGTTTATTATTAATAAAATTATGAATCATTACCTGCTAAAAAATTTATCTCGCTTTGCAGATCTTCAATTATTCTTCCTGAATCCATTAAATTGCTGAAAAAAATCTCAATTTACATTCAATAAAACAACGTATTAGAAATCCGAATGCTACTGTACTTAAATATACAAATAAAACGTAAAATATTCGACAATCTGTTTTTCTTTCATTGATATAATCGTAATGAATGAATCGTATGAATTTAAGATAACATGCTAACCTCGAAAGAAATCAATGACGAATCGTATGAATTTTGCTTTGTAATCGATCTCGAATTTGCGTTAACAACTATTTCAATGACGAAATCAATGACGAAAGAAATCAATGACGAAATAAATTATGAATTTAAGATAACAACTATTCGATCGATGTAGATTTGTTATGATTTCGTCGTTGATTTTGATAATTTTGAAGGTTAGAATATGATATTTTGGAAAGAAAATCGTACAGATGTTGTAATACTCAAATAAAACGTAAAAGACAATCTTACCCTTATGATCTTAAATCCAATCCAACGGTCCACTTTTAGTTCTCGGGTTCTCGGGAAACTATGAGTTCTCAACCGATCTCAACCCTATATATATATATATATATATATATATATATATATATATATATATATATATATAGATATATATATATATATATATATATATATATATGTAATTAAGATTCTACAGGCTTAGAATTTGTGATTTCGCCTTAACTCCTGTTCCTTGTTTGGTTGTGGGCTTAGGGTAGAATCATTTATTCGACTGTCTTTTCAATCTTAATTATATATGCCTT